TGGGTGTGGACGGGGCTGGGGAGGGAAGATGGAGGGGAGTGAGACGGCGTGGCTTGGGTGTGGACGGGGCTGGGGAGTGCATGGGTGTGGACGCTTGCGCGGCTGATATGCTAGTTACGAGGACATGGTTGCACCACAAGCATCATTGCAGGCTGCTCCGGGTCAGTGCACAAGTAGAACGAAGCATGGGTGGGAGTAGTGCTGCTCCATGCTTCGCGGAAGCACGTTGGGAGGTGAGTGGAGCTGCGGGGCTTATACGATGGTCTTGGGTGTCCGAAAAGTGCGCAATGCACGCGACAGACGGTCAAGTCGTGGCTGAAACGGCAGGATTGTTGCGTCGAGCACATGGTTGCACCACCAGCATCATTGCAGGCTGCTCCGGGTCAGTGCACAAGTAGAACGAAGCATGGGTGGGGGTAGTGCTGCTCCATGCTTCGCGGAAGCCCGTTGGGAGGTGAATGGAGCTGTGTTGCACCAGAACCGCGATGCTTGAAATATCATAGTTGCCACGAAGCCTGGAGGGGGGTGATGCTTCGTTTTGGTGTGCTAATTTGTGTTTGTTTATTTTTCCTGGGTTGTGCGCTTCTTTTTGCTTTTGGGTCCGCGGGCTCACCTTGTTTTTTTCCCCATGTGGCGCGGTCATGTCAATACAATTTCACTGGAGTGCTGCACCCAGAAGAAACATCCAGAAAGGCTCCCAGTAGGCTTCCAAACCCCAGTGGTGTACCAGCTGTATGTGGACCACTAACTACAAACCCTTGCTGGCAACCAAAGACTTCAAGTGTCAAAAACGATCATGGCTGGACCTTCCAGCCGGGGCGTCGAATGGAGATCCATGAGTGGTCCCCAGCCGGGTGATCCCGTACGGAAGGTGCTGGTGAACAGTAAAAAGAGCCGCATTCCGAGCAGCATCCTCCGCCGGTGAAGGCCGTCCCCCAGCAGCGCTCACATTCGCTGAGGGCAACGAGAGCCCGGAACGATCCAGGGCGGAGGACAAAGCCTTCAACGCCAAAGAGACCTGTGCGTTTCTCATCTTTTCTCAGCAAGTGGAGAGTGGATGGAGAGTGGATGGAGATTGCAAACAGTGGCAGACTACTGGAGCAAATCCACAAACATTAGGATTAGGATTCTGCACCGAAGAAGTGTCACAAACGGCCACCGTTCATGGAAAAAAACTCGCGTTTCGCATCGAATCAGGGCGCCCATGTGCCCAGTTCGATGTCTATGAAACACGGCCGGCCATCGATTCCGCCGTTGAAAAAGTCAGGGCACCACTTCTTCTGCAGGCACCGTTCCAGCCAATTGCTCATCGGATTGGGTTTGGCTTGGCTCACTGGGGCCCAAAGACAAAGGGAAGCTGCACTCGGAGACGTTCTCCTAAGTGATATATCGACTGAACCACTGCAAAATCCATCGCGGAATCCATGCAAAAGGTTATAAAAGCATAAAAGAGCCTCTTGAGATCTCCGCGCAAACTGGTTGGAGACAGCAGCTACCCATAGGGGAAAGCATTGGAAAGCCTTTCTGCAACAGTGGATTATACCATATTATACCGGCATAGACCCCAGATAGCACTTCAAGAAAAGTTGAACACCATGGCAAGAGCGGGAGACAAGCTTGGGAGACATCCCACTCAAAGCCGGGGAAAGGATGGAAAAGGAAAACAAGACCTAAATCATCTTATAACAGCATCCGCGTCAAAGGCAGGCAACAAAATGACAAGGCGGCAGCGGCAGCCAAGAGCGAAATCAGGAACAGAGACAAGCTTGGGAAACACGGCGGCAGCGGCAGCCAAGAGCGAAATCATGAAGGGAGACAAGCTTGAGAGACAAGGCGGCAGCGGCGGCCAAAAGCAAAATCATGAAGGGAGACAAGCTTGGGAGACAAGCCGGCAGCGGCAGCCAAGAGCGAAATCATGAAAGAAAAAGTTTGGGAGACCAGGCGACAGCGGCAGCCAAGAGCGAAGTCATGAAGGGAGACAAGCTTGGGAGACAAGCCGGCAGCGGCAGCCAATTTCCGCAATCCGGAACCCATCCATTGAGAAGTAAGAACCCCTATAGCTTCCAGCTATCTGGGGAAAAAAGAAGAAACCTCCTTAAAGATCCTTAAACACCTCAAAAACTGCAACAAGTGGACGAAAAGAAAGGCCCCATAAGGCCCCAAGAAATCGATGCTTTTCAACGTCTCTGAGCCACCTCCAACCTCGTTGTCGTCCGTCGCTTCTGCTTCCGGTGTAGGGCTTCTGCTTCGGCACGCGCCGCGGCCCAGATCTCGCGCGTCACCGTTTGGCAGACCGAGAAGGGCAAGAGGCCATCGGCCAACAAACCGTGCTCGGTGTCCAAATCCTTGGTGTCCAATCTGGTCAAAGGCGTCGAACCACCATCCCTCAAACTGACCTTGACCGACCGAGAAAACATGAGAACCACCCGACGTCCCACTCGTCTCTCGCCCAGCTTCCAGCTGCAACTTCCCGCACGGCGCGGAAGCTCGGCCCGCAGGACTTCGACTCCGTTCGGACTTCGGTGCCGTCACCACGCGGACGGCGGAAGGCGGGCTGTGCACACGGAGCATGGCTGGGCCGAAACCGAGAAGCCGGAGGCCGCCCCGGGGACGCTTCGCGCGGAGGGCGATGCTGGGGGTTTTTGGTGATGGGTTTTCTATCTCGGCACATCGAAAAGCGAAGTGGAGTCCACTCCAACTGAACTCTCAGGAACCAAGCTTTCTGAAGTCGGGGCACACTGCACGTGGTAAAGGACATCTTGCCCCCACCATGGTGGTCGAGCTTTGTGTTGATGGAGTGCGGAGTTCGCCCGCTTGGCAAACTGGCACTGGTTGACATGCTTGAGAGGTGAGCGTGTCCCTTCCTGCTACTTCCATCATGTGTGCCGTGTTTGAGCCGCTATAGGCCGCACCGCACGAGAAGTACACCTCCTGGCACCAGAAGCTGCTCTTACGTTGGACGGCCCTGCCAACTGAAAAACCTTCACTGTGAATGGCATTGGCATCCGAAACCCAAAATCAGCTGAAAAGGTGAGATGGCTCATCTTTCAATGACCAAAGCTCAATTCCAAAGGTCTCCGCAAAATAAGGCCCCAAAGCCAAAAAAGATCCCTGCCTCGAGCCAGGCGGAGTCTCGGGCGAAGGCCTTTTCGAGGTGTGGTAGCTTCCACTTGGGATCCTTCCAGTGACCGCAGTGGCAACGGCATGGTCCGGAGTAACTGGAGGCCCCACAACTCTTGCAGCATTCAATGGCGTGATACGAAACGTGGGCCCCAGCAGCGAACTCTCACAAAATGGCAACGCCGACCTCTCAGAGTCTCATAGACTACGTACTACATCTTCCACTCCAGTCTGCTCGCTCCGAAGGTTTCTCAGGGCCGAAGGGCCGCGCGGGGGTTCGACCACCCAGTTCCGCCCAGTGAAGACCGTCGGACCGACTTTTCGGATACCCGTCCTGGTGGTGACTGATGATCTCTCTTTCCTGGGGTGCTTGTGCACCGACTTTTCGTCCGAATCATGAGAAGGACCACACAAAAAGGGATTGTTTTTGGGCCTCACAAATCTGTCCGACCCTTCGACCCTTCGTTGGAAGACCGATCGAGACTCCAAACGGCCGACGAGTCTCGTTCTCCAGCACGGCACCGCTGGAACTCGTGACAACACCCTCTTAGCAAGGCTACCAGTTAGTTAGTGAGGGTTGAAAGCAATTGGGAACTGGGTTACTAAAGCATCTCTGAGTAATACAGACAATCGGAACTTCCGATCGATTTGTTCCAGTCATATCCATGTCTGATCGCCTGCGCAGACCCCTCCAGTTCGGCCGCATCTCGGGTCTCAACCGCCTTCTGGAGAGCTTGGAAGGCCTTTTCCGCCGCCTCCACGGCTCGTTGAGGTGCTGAGAGCGCCTGGTTGAGGCAAAGGTGGGACGTCTCGGTCGGTCCAAACCGCGGACTGGATGTCCGTCTCCAAAGCCTGGAGAATGAGTTATTTGATGTTAATTTGATTGAGAAACAATACTGAAACATCTATAGAAATATCTCTAAGAATCAAGAACCCTCAAAGGTGAAGGTTTGGTTCGGGTCCAAACTCCTGCGCCAAGTAGGGTCAAAACATGTCAAAACCCTCCGCTACGGAGGGACTAATGATGCTGTGATGACATTTGCCTTTTCTCATTTGGAGGCGAGTTTGGACGAAACTTGAATTTAGTTCAAGCCATCAGACCCGAGAGCCGTCACGTCGCGTCACGGCTTGGTTGGGGGTCACTAACCACCCATCGCGAAGCCCGACCTCCAAGGACTTCCGGATCTCCTCACACTCCTGATGCACCTGAGGGCTTAGTCTCAATCACGAAAGGCAACAAATGACGAAAAAATGCGAGGGTGTCGAAGAAAGAGACGGCATGACAGCAACACAAGAACGTTAGGGTCTTGGCATCTATATCAATATCGAAAGAAACACAACAACCGACTCTTCAACCCTTCCAACGGGCATCGGTGCCACCAACGGGCACGCGGTGCCACCAACGGGCACGCCTCGTTGGCTTCGCATTCTCTGGCCTCGTGGCGCACTGCCAGCTGCCCCTGGCAGGGTCCCAGCCGTCAGAGTAACTTCCATCCACGAGGGAGCCATCTTTCTTGTGGTCCCAGCCACAAAAAGAAATTCCACAAGACTATGCAAAAATCGTGGAAAAAATGCCACCAATTGCAGACTAACATACGTACCGATATTCCATGATATTCCCCAGCTAATGATCTTTCTCGGCCAGCGAGTCTCAGAATTACTCAGCACGCACCAAATCCCATCACATCGATCCCACAGCACTCGGTGCATGCTCGGTGCGTCACAGCGGGAAGTGCCAAACCCATCCCGGTCGCGGTCGCGGTCGGCGCCCAATCCCCATTGAGCAGGGCATGAATCGCTGTCCGAACCCAACGGGTTCCTCTGTCCGATCCGGCTCACCCGACCAGTTCACCAAAAGCACTGTGGTGTCAGCGCTGAAATCTGCGCCTGGCGCTGGAACTCCAGCTGGAGCTCCTCCAGTTCAGAGCGCAAGGCCTCTTCCTGCCTCGGGATGGGAGAGGTTGACGGCCCGTGATCACAAGCTGATTGGGAAATGATGGATGAGCATTGATCAATTTTGGTGTTATATAATCGTCCTGGAAGTGCCTATAAGGGTCCAAGTTGACACATCTGACCAGCCGTTTCAGTGAAAGGACTCTGCATCTGAAAGGGTCTTCATTTCTTGGCAACCGTGACAAATAGATCGATGGACCATCATGGTCCATGATGATAGACCAACACGCTGATTTCTTGGGATATATAAGATTTATCTCCGCAACACGTCGCAGGGGGGTGGAATGGACCTCTTGGTGCCACGCCACGACTTGCTCTCTAGCTCGAGCAGTTTGTCCGACTGGCTACGTGAAACCAAACCCCTGGAAGCGATGTAAGGAAAATGATCGAACATGGAACTGCGAAACGACAAAACATTGCAAATCAGGATATAGTTACAGCTCCAAGATACTCCAAGTGGCCATTCTCCACTTCCAATTTTGTTGGATCAAACTTAAACGGTAGTTGCTTTCTACATCACGGCATGTCATGAGTGATGGCATGGGACGGCTGCGGGAAATGAAAACAACACCATGTCCGGATCCGATATGAGGGGACCCCGCTGTCGAACACACGAAAAGGCCCAGTGACCCTGTGACTTCCGCCAGCTCCTCCGGCATGACCTGCACTGATCGTTCTGATCCCGTCAAACGATCCTCAACGAAAAAACACACTTGGCATCATTTGGCTGTAGCTCAAAAAATCTGGCCACCTGGGGCAAATGTGCAAGAGATTCAAGCCTTCGGGAATGTCGGGCGCCTTGTGATTGGACCGGGACGGTCCACGGGCCAAGCGCGCCTGGAGCGGTTGTGGCCGATTTCTGGGACAGGTCAACGGTCAACCTTCAGAAGGGCTGGGAGAATGAATTAAGACTGACTAGGACCCGCCCTATCGGTTCGGCTGTTTTTTGTTCACCGCGAGGAGTTCGGAATCACAGCGGCGAGGTTTGTCCAAGAGACTTCGCTGTCAGCGGAACACGTGTGTGACCGGTACTACAAGGGTGGGTCGAAGATCTGGACTTCCAACCATCCCTGTCTCAAATGCTATGAACATATCTGTAGATATCTGTATATATACACATGTACACTATCTGTCATACACTATCAATCACTATCACATCACCCCTTGGCCCTTTGTGCTGGTCACTGGCGGCCCGTCCGGACCCTAGGACCGGCATTTCTGTTCGGGACCGGCATGGTCGATGGTCCATACCCTCGACACTAACGGTGCCATGTCGGTTTTTGCTTCTGCATGGACTGTATGACGGCAACATGCTCCTCACATCTCCTCACTGCGTCTGTCAGGTCATCCAGTGACGCGTCTGGTTCGGCAGTCGGATGGTCTTGTCACGTCTTCGTTCCTGGCTCCACTTCCGGATGGGTTGGCTCATGTTGGCTCCACGTACATGTTCACCACTCGCCCCATGGTCGGCGCTCGGCTCGCATGCGACAGCCCCGGGTCCCGGCCTCCCGATCGGGTCGACGAAAGACTGGGACTGTGGAAGCACCACGGGTTCTAGGGAGCCGAAGTCTATTTGGGAGGCTCCAAGGCACAATTAGACAGCCAGCTGGCTGCCAGCTCACTGGCCAATTCATGTCTGGCTTTTGCCAGCTGCCAGCTTTATACCCAAAAAAAACACCAAAGCTGGCAAAAGCGAAAGAACAACACGTGACACCCACACACTCTTTGGCATCCAAACGCCCGCCCCCTGTCTGGCATCCCCGAGGAGTCGGCCGCTTCGGCCTCTGCATGTTCCACCTCCCTTCGGAGCTCCATGGCGATGCGCTCCTGGCGAGACGCTGCCAGAGCCGAACGAGGCTGTCCGGAGAAACACCGGATGCCCCGATGGAATTGGAGGTCAAACGACTTAAGGTCATAGAATTCCTGGCTACAAACAGGAAGGACCATGCAGAACATCTCCATGGCTCCATGCAATCCAAGAGCGAGTTTGGTCAGGCTTGATCATGGCAACAACTATGACCTTGTCTGGCTGACGTTAACGAATCAACTCCATGCAGCCAAATATGATGTTATGATATGTTAGGACAAGGCTTTGTTCTTGAGGGTTCCAAAGTGAAAATCTGAAACCCTTACTGAAGACTCCGTCTGTCACCTGACGCGGTCGAATTTCCCTTCAAACCTCTTGAGACATCTTTAGACTACATTATCAATCTAGAAGCTGGGCGTGAGAGTTGACCGTCCCATACTGGTCACAACGAGCAATCTGTCGTCGTCGAAGTCTTCTTCCTGAAGAATCCGGTCTACGAAGATCGGAGAAAGCTCAGGAAGTGAAATAGTCCTGGGATATCTTCAGTTGAAGTACTTCCTTTCGCATATAGATGTTGATCTCCCAGTGGTACCATGGCTGAAAGCTGAGTTCTGAAAAGAAACTCCATCAAGTCTGCACAACATGAATTGATCAGTCCGGATGACGCGCGATCTGACCGTGAAAGGGTGTCAACATGTATCACTGGCGTCCAGTTTTGTGGAAGAAGGTCAACAACCTGTTTACGGATTGTGG